GAAGAAAATAAGCACCAGATATAAGCACACAAATTGGTGGAGCAAAGAGGTCAAAGAATCAATACACAGAAAGGAAAAGACATGGGAGGCATACCTGAACCGTACGCCACAAAACTGGGAAGAGTATGTTAAGTGGAGGGATGATACTAAACGTGTTATTCGAGAGGCTAAGAAAAAGTCATGGGAAGAATTTGGAAAATGTAAGGACTATAAGGAGAATATAAAAAAGTTCTGGAAAAAAGTAAAAGTACTGAGGGGTAAACATTCAAAGAGATCCGAAACATAAAAGCTGAAAGCGGACATATGATCACAGACTCAGACAAGATCTAGGATAGATGGAGACACCATTACTCTTCACAGTTCTCTAATCTCAGACAAACTCCCGAACACCAGGAAGAGACTGTCGAGGTATATATGCAGAGGCAGTATGCAAGTTACCAGAAGGCCTCGACAGTGCGTATTCAGTGTAGAGGGTTAAGATGACTGAGTGGATGAAAGAAGATGAATAGATGGATGACCGTAAGTGTCAGGCGGGTCAGCACCCGACCACTCTCGGTCTGCGGTGTAAGGGATCAGCCCTAATAATCCGCAAGGATGGTTATCAAGACCTAAGGGATCAATCTCCGGACTTGTGGGAGGATGAAATACTAACCGAGGGATCAATCTCCTGACTTAGTATATAGGACTGCAAGCGAACAGATCAGCGTCCAACTTGCATGGAGTAAGAGAGGAGGATAAAGGTTAATGGATGTAGTGAAATAAAAGAGGTTAAGGTGAACCAAAAACTGTATATGAAACATATACTGATCATCTGCGTGTTGATCTACACCCTGAAGGGGTGAAGATCCGAAGGTCTGACAATTTGAGATTTGACTGCGGTGTTCATTCCTCCAAGACTAAACCTGCTACCAAGAGCCGTTACAATAACAGTTATTCTTGAGCTTTGATCAGTATATGTTGTCGCCATTAAACTTTATTAATAAACAGTGATAAAGCTGAGGAGTTCGCCATTCACCTATCCAATACATTTATTTCACATCCGGAATCCCATCCTGCCCACACCGTAACAGTAAAAGAACTCCTTACATCACCAATCCCACTTTCCTTGCCCCTAAAAGCTATTCATCCTTCCGAAGTAAAATTTCAATTAAAAAAACTAATCCCCCGTAAAGCTCCTGGACATGATCTCCTTACCCCTCAAATCCTTCGACAACTTCCATCCAAAGCAGTCATATTCCTTACATATATCTACAATTGTATCCTACGCACCACCCACTTCCCTCTGTTATGGAAACACTCCACTATTATCCTTTTCCCAAAACCAGGCAAACCTCCCAATAGCTCAACATCCTATAGACCAATCAGCCTACTCACAATCCTTTCAAAAATATTTGAAAAGATCCTTTTGAAACGAATCCTACCCATTATAGAATCCCAAAATATCCCTTCCCATCAGTTTGGTTTTCGCTCTCAACATTCTACTGTTCAACAAGGACTCCGAGTTGTTGATCATATTTCCTCAGCCCTAGACAACAAGGAATACTGTTCGGGTGCCTTTCTGGACATTGCACAGGCATTTGACCGGGTATGGCACTCCGGACTGCTCTCCAAGCTTAAAATCCATTTACCTCAGTCCTTGTACCTAGTCCTCCGATCCTACCTCTCTGACCGCTCCTTTCGAGTTCGCTGTGGAACAGAATTTTCCAATATCTACTCCGTTAAATCCGGTGTTCCCCAAGGCAGCGTCTTGGGTCTCGTGCTTTACATCCTCTTTACTGCTGACATCCCTGTTCATCCCGATACTTTTCTTACAACATTCGCTGACGAGACCGCAATCTTATCATCCAAATCTGATCCCGAAATAGCATCCTTAAATCTCCAAAGCCACCTCACCTTGATTGAGCACTGGTGTAATAACTGGCCCATTAAAGTTAATGAATCTAAATGCCAACATATTACCTTTACACTCCGACGCAATTCCTGTCCACCAGTACCACCAGTACTCTTTAATTCCATCCAGCTTCCTTACTCAGACACAGTCCGGTATCTTGGCTTTCATTTAGACCGAAGACTAACTTGGAATCCGCATACTAAACTCAAAAGACAAGAACTCAACCGACGATACGGCCAACTATACCGACTACTAAGCAGAAAATCTAAACTTTCCATTGAAAACAAGCTACTGATCTACAAGACAATACTGAAATCTATTTGGACTTACGGACTAGAACTGTGGGGATCAGCAAAATTTTCTAACATCAAGCGCATCCAATCCTTCCAGTCTAAAGTCCTTCGAACAATAGTCGATGCTCCTTTCTATGTAACCAACAAAACCCTACATCATGACCTCAACATCCCATTTGTCCTAGACCTTATCCCAGAAAAATTCTCCAAATTTCACCAGAACCTTACTTACCACCCAAATCCTCTTGCACAATCCCTATCAAGCACCTCCCATCCCTATAATCCTCCAAGAAGGTTGAAACGGCAGTGGCTTCGCGACCTTTTGTAGATTGTATAAATTGGAATTCTGGCAATGGCCAGATTCTTCACTCAAGACATGAGTGTATGTGGCTAAAGTGCTCTCGACCAATCTCCGCTGGCTTTAGTACCAGTGAAGCGGTTGGTAGTAGCGCAGGGTTCTCCTGGAATTCCCTCGCCTGATTGTATATAGGTATGCATGTGTTTTTTTTTTTTTCTTAGTTTTAATTTTCTTATTTTTTAGGTTATTTTATTTTTTTGTCTATTGTATATACTTTTGATTATTATTTTGTTCTATTTATTTTATTTTTTTGTACATATAGTGTGAATGTCATCCTACCTCACTATAACCAACGTCCAACAGACAGATTGTTATAATACTCAATAAAGAAATAAAAATAAAAATAAAAATACAAATAAACAGTATTTGCAATGTGTATACATATTCCTATTTACAATTTGAGTATTTTATAACACAACAATAAAAAATAAAATATACAATTTTTAGTATGTTGCACGGGCGAGCTTGTAGGGCGCTGCCTGGTAGCGGGTAGGCGAACTAGTACCCTGCGGCAAGAGCGGGAACTAGTTGCGGCAACTACAAGACCAATCAAGTGTCTGAATATGATACTATCTGGGAGGTTTATATAGAAAGATCTCTGGAAAAGCTAAAAGCACAATTTCATAACCACTTTACCTGAAATACATTTAAAAAATCATTATTTTTTTATTTATAAATAAAATGTGTTTTTAGGCAATTATGTTTATTAAATTTCACCCCACATCACGGAAAAACAAGAAACAGTTATTTATAGTTATTTTTGCAGAAAACAGGGGTACTTTCAGGGGACTAGATAGGAAATCACATCATTTCTTTACACAACTTGAGGTGATTCTCAATTTTTTTCCAAATAAACTAATATAAAGCTTATTACACTAGGAAGATTTTGTAAAATTGGGGTCAATTTAGTAAAGTTAAAGAGTGATAAAAAAGATCACAAATAATTTATGACTTTTTTAAACGAAACTTATAGCCCAATAGTCCTTTTTATATAGATTCAAAAATGACAAATTCTGCTTTCGTTTTAAAGTAAATTTTGTCTAGTTTACTATGCATCAATGTTTAGTTACTTAAATAAAATATTTTTGATGTCATCACTTCCTATTAAACAAAAAACTTGATTCGCCTAAAAAAACACAAATCTCAAATTTCCTACTTTTCTGTTGGAAATTGCTGAATTGTTGATATGAGCTTTATTGTAGATGTTGATATCTACTTTCAACCTTTTAAATATTTCCCTCTACTTACGGGACACCCTTTATATATATGCGGGAGTGGGTAGCTCAGCGGCAGGGCACTCATCTGCCAATAGGCAAGATCCTGAGTTCGAATCGCGGCTCATGTCAGAAAAAGTATTGATTCTGTTTCATATCATTGTTTCTGCTGTGCGATAACCCTGGGATCAGGATACACTAATAGGGCACACCCAGCCTCTATAAAGTGGGTTCCCTTAATTGAATAATTAATAAATCTGGCGATTGAGCGTGATCTTAGTCAAATCATCTTGCACCGTTATCTAAGAAACAGAAATTTCCCATAATAATACTGCACCCAGGACCCTTCATGGCTTGTAGGGGTAAAGGTTTTTTTTTATTTATTTATATTTTTTTGTATAATGCAAATCTAATTAAAGGAAAACTAATGATTATTTATTTCAATTCAGAAAAATAGTTCTAAGTTATAGCATTTGACAGCGCAGAAGCTTTATTTAAAGATGGGTGGTCCAATAAAAATGTATGAGAGTCGATAGAGTGTCTACAAAGTGATGTTATTGAAAACAATAATTCTGTTTAACAGACTCGGTCTGGCTTTGTTTAGAGTCTGAAGCCCTTGGCTAGAGTCTGAAGTGGGGCTCCATTATGTATATATACGAAGCTGGTCTGAAAAGTTTCCTACAGCAACGTGATTTTATTTTAAAATTGACTGATTCCCACTGAGTTAGTGAATTAGTGAATTAGTGCATCGATGAATTCCGGCTGAATCGGTTAATTCACTGGGTTTGTTCTAGAAAATCTTCCAGCCTTCTTGCATAGTTCACTGAGTTGTTTTGTTTCCTTTTGGAATCTACTCTTCCACGAGCATTTTAGACTTCAGAATTTATAACCTACGAGGGTGGTCTGAAAAGTTTCCGACCGCAACATGAAGATGGCAGCACTCGTAAATAAAAGCAAGTGAATTTCGTTGTTCATCTGTTGACAGTTACCCACCAAAGTTTCAGCCATTTTGGATGCGCAGTTTTTATGTAACAGTCGTTTGAATGAGTTGATGTGTTTTTGTGAAAATGGACAAAATCGAGTATCGAGCTGCCATTAAATATTTGTTTTTGAAAGGCAATACGCCTATGCAAATCAAAAATAAGTTTGATTCTGTGTATGGGAACTCTGCAGCCATCATTTACCACAGCAAAATTTTGGGCAGCTGAATCTAAACGTGGCCGTAAGAGCTTGGGAGACGATGAATGCTCGGGACGTCCAAAACTGCAACTACTGACGAAAACAACTGCAAAGTTCACCAAATGGTGCTAGACAACCGCCGAATTAAAGTGAGAGAGATAGCAGATGTTATGAACATGTCAAAAGAACATGTTTGTTACATATTAAATCATTTAGATATGAGAAAGGTGTCCGCACGTTGGGTGCCGCGTTTGCTCACGTTAGACCAAAAATGTGTTCGAAAGAACATTTCCAACGCTCTGTTGGCGCAGTTTAGGCATAATAAATCCGATTAATTACTGTTGATAAAACTTGGATACACCATTATATGCCCGAAACAAAAATACAGTCTAGACGGTGGACTGCAAAGGGGAAACCGGCTCCAAAAAAGCAAAAACTGTTTTCTCGGCTGGGAAAGTAATGGCGACAGTTTTTTGGGATAGTCATGGAGTTATTTCAATCGACTATCTTCAAAAAGGAAAAACCATTACAGGAGCATAATACGTATCATTAATTGACAAGCTAAAGGCCGAACTTGCAGGAAGACGCCCACATTTGCTGAAGAAAAATGCTGTTTCACCAAGACAACGCGCCGTCTTACAGCGGTTGCCATGGCAAAAATCCACGAATTACTGTTTGAACTGCTTGAAAATCCACCTTACTCACCAGATCTAGCCCCAAGTGACTTCTTTTAGTTCTCTTTTAGACTTCTTTTAGACAATCACTTTCGTAAACAACTATTTTGCAGAGAAAAACGCCGAGTACTTTTTACGGACGGGTTACAGAGACGGGAGCATTGCTGGGAGAAGTGTGTAGTTACATATATAAATACAATTTATGATAATTATTATAATCGGATAATAGGTCACTAAACTATATTTTAATAAACCAAAATAGATTCTGTTTATTATTTTTATACAAAACGTTTCGATCCCTGTTTTCTTAAAAAAAAAAAATGGGGTCATCTACAGTTTTATTTTAAAATGATAATCGGAACCTATGCTGGGCAGAAGGCTGACAGCCACAATAGTACCACCTCCCAGCAAAGATCTGAGGCTTGAGATAAGGTTGAAAAGTGCAAAATAACGATATTCGGGCGCCACAGAGGGGACGCCACAATCATTCTACGGTGATGTAAAAATACAAAAGATTTATCTGGACCCTCTGTCGGAGGGCCGCAAACATATGTGAAAATAAACGAATATAAAACAATTATTTATGTGGCCAAACGTTCAACGGTATTAGGTAAATAAAAAGTTGCGATATTTAGGGCGCACGAAAAATACAGAATAGCAACAATCCGGACCCTGAGACGGAGTCCCAATCATTTTTCGGTGATAAAAAAGTATAAAAGTATATATATTTGCGGCCCATCGGAGGTACCCCAGAAAATTTCAGAAATACACAAAAATTATTTTTACGGCCAAATATACCACGGTAGCTGATAAATAAAAAATAAAGATATTCAGGACTCTTAGGGGAGATCACAATCATTTTACGGCGATAAAAAAAGTACAAAGTATTTATGATGGGGCCCAAAAATTTGTAGGAATAAATTTATGGAAAACAATTATTTATGCAACCAAACATACAAAGGTCTAGATAAATACAAGACAATAATCTTCAGTCCCTCAGAATGCCGCCCTCAATCATTCTACGGCCATGAAAAAGTACAAAACATTTATTTTGGGGTACTAGAAAAATATAAAACAATAGTTATGTACCCGAACCCCCTCTCTGGCTGGGGGGCCCTCGGCGATTGTCTTATTAAAGAAATGATTGCCTCTATTTCCACAGTTGTTTGCTAATAAGTAAATTAAAATGTGATTTTCCTACCATTTGGAAATGTTTCCGTTAATTATTCTAAAATGGAAAAAATATTTGTTAAAGAAGTGAACCATTGCTCAATATACAAGTACAGCTTTAGGAAACTATCAAATCAAATGGAAATGTTAATTTTGGTCAAAGTGGGCATGTGCACATTTCGTAGCAAACTCTTTGTTTATTAAATGACTGGAGAACTCTAAGAAGCTAGGGGAAGCTAATACACTACGTAAAAACAGAAAATTGGTATTGCCACAAATGAATGTTTTTAATTCAGTTTTCTTTAAATGTTTTATTTTTTAATGAAATAAAAAAGTAAGTTTAGTAACATGAACATAAGCACAACTGAAAATTTAATTTAATTGTATGTATCTTTGTATTTTCTTATAATTTAAATGATCTCTTTAAAAATTATCCATCATATGCTAACAATATTGCAAGAATTGTGAAAAAGCGATGAAATGATCGTTTTTCCACTCAGAAATCCAAACCTGTAAAGATTGTTTTATATAAATTATAGTTTAGGTTTAACAATTGTAAATTAGGTGAGGAGATGGGAAAAAGTGGGTGGAGCTATGGGAGGGGCCTACCTGTGGGTGGAACTCGGCTATATATACCGTCCCAGGGGTTCCAACCCTCTACAGTTCATCATGTCCAACGTCTTCTACCTTGTCGCATCCCTCTTCCTCTTGCTCAGTTGCTCTAGGGCGGCTCCAGGTAAATCTATTTTCCAAAATTATTACGATGATTGGTTAAAGCTGAAATATTTTTCAATGTTATACCCTTCCTTAAAGAAGGAATAGTGCAATAAAGGTATATAGAATAACAATTTAGTACAGAGAATAACTTTTTAAGTTAATAAAAATTGGAAAATGTGCATCTCGTGTTCTTCTATCTATGTTTTACATTCAATTACTCTAAAAGAGTCCGCAATTGGTATCTTCATAAAATCTTATGGGATGAAACTACTCATTTATGATTTAATCTATTTTGCCTTATAGAAAATCAAAATTAGGCTTAAAAAAATTTACTCAAGCTCAAATTGAAGCCTGTGAATCACTAGCGGATCCAGGATTTAATTTATATTGGGGAGTATAACACCGAGGATCCTTAAATTAAAATTTTGCACTTGCAAACAAGCTCTTTCTTTGTTTTTTTAATGCGCTTTGATTAAAAAAAAAAAGATATATTGTAATTGTTTAACAAGTAGGTACAGATCATTAAAAAAAAAAAAATGTACTTTCCTCCGAAGCCGCTAGTGGTTTGCAAATAGTTGAAATAGTTTGCCAGCCTGCCCATCCTTTTGAATTCATTGCATTATTTATTAAAACCTTGTACATAATAAAACCCTTGTGTCTTCTAAAGTCATGTCCTTTTAAATAATAAGGCAATTGAATAATTGCAAGGAAGCATATCTCAGTGTGCTGGAATACTTACTAATTATTAAAATATCCTCAACAGTTTAACAATTTATATTATTTTATCGGCTACCAAGCTATTTAAAGTGAATGAGCACTATTTGAGTTGATAATTTGATTTCTGATTTAGTAATAATGATTTTTAAATATATAGATTTATATTTTAATATGAACGATGGCTGAGCAGAGGTGCGAAGAAATGGTTCTTTCTAGCCTTCGCGACACAACCTAGCTCAACGAAATGTTTATTATAAATCCTATATTCTTAATTTTCTCTCTTTTTACTAAGAAACAAAATGATGGCCAATCTGGATAGATATTTAACATATATTATTCAACTTAATAGTACTGACACTGCACATGATGTGGAAACATCTGTACTCGAACCATCAGTTAAATGAATTGATCATTCTTGTAATGGCTCATTTTACAAGGAATGCTCGATTCGTTTCTTGTGGTACAATATTTTTACACCTTGTCATATAAATCATCTCAAGGTTTAATGGGAGAAAAGTTGAAATCCAGGGTGATAGATTTAATTGAAATATTACAATCGCGGATTGTTTTTTCTTCAGTAACCTCCCTCATTTTTTGCAAAGTCTTATACACGTGTGATCTTACCGAATTAAATTTCATTTTGAGTTAAATTTATCTCTGATTTAACCTGAGTGTTGTTTCGCTTCTGTTCTTCATAAAAAGTGTCTTTAGATATTCCAATCACCAAAGAAATTTTTAAAACATATTCAAGTTTTTTTATATTTTTGTTATAACATATAAATTACTGATAGTTTATTAGGACTAGACTATATTTTATTAAAACAATGAAGCCCAAAGGACTTTTGCATTACCCAACCTGATATGACTAAGGCAGTATTTTTAATATTAGGCCTAAAATATGGCTGAAGAAGAATAACTAATTTAAATTTATACAACTAATAATTACGTCTTTACGCATTATGTTTTTAAAGAACGTTCGTTCAAAACCCCAAAGAGATCGCAACGCCAATAGACGAAGCAAAAGTAAGAGGTATAGAGGGATTTCCACGACGTTTCAAGATTTACACAGTGACATTTGTCAGTCCAAAAATTTAGAGTTGCATGTCTATATTTTGAACTATGCCCTAAAGTTTTTTTTTCATAATTAATCCTAGACCAGGGTAACTGCAAGTAAGGTTTGCCGTGACTTTGGTCACGGTGAGCAATACTGTATTTAATACATAAGAACCTTATGGTACACAGTCAGCCCAACTTTTTATTTAAATTTATTAGGTTTTTACTACTAAAACTATGAGCCATCGGGTCAGTTATGTCTGATTTATTTTCATTTGAAAAATATATCATGACCCACCTCATTAGTTTAGTATTTAAACTAACCTTAGATACTAGGTATATATTGAAGGTTCTCAGGATATGAAAAAAGATCTTTCGAACAAGATAATGAGTTAATGATTCGAATAGATGACTAGCAATTTCCCGAACCAAGGTTGATGTGAGACTAGTAAACAAATTCTCTCTCTCCCCCCCCCCCGCCACTGTTCTACCCTTACCTCGCTTAAACCAATTTTCATAAACCTGTTTTTTTTTATATTAATACTATGGTGGTGCAACTTTCAAGTAACCACTTAAAATCTCGCCGAAGCAAGGTGATATATCACTATCCCAGCTTTTATGTTTCAAATAACTAAGAACGAGTTATGATCATTTTAAACACTGTTAGATTTATTAAAACATTTAAGAAACATAATAAAAGTTATTCCATTGAGAATTTTCGAAGGCACGCCAGGAGTTTTGATATTTGTTCATCAAATCGTAATTGAGCAGTAGAAGCTTTGAAATAGTTTTCAAGGATTATGCAGTCCAAGAGTTAGCTGCTTACTTAAAGTAAAGAGAGTCTTATTTAACGTTTTATTGTTTATCGAAAACCGTTTACATAAAAAAAGGCTACGCCATTGGTATTGGTTAAGCATGTTAAGGATTACATTTGTTCGAAATAGATGGAGCCACAGAAGTGATGAAAATGAATATAGAAATCAAAAGTCCATTAAAGAGTTTCTATAATTATTTCAACTAATCAGTTAAAATAACGAAACGTTCTTGTGTGAAATAATTGACGTCCACAGTTAAATAATGATACTTCACATAACTGACATTATATCAATCTACAAGCTGGTTTAGAATTTGTTTTCATTGTTTAAAGATAAGATGAGTCGTATACTCAAAATTTCACCTCACATGCTCTTGTAAATGATGCAAGTTGTAAATGAATGTTTTCCAAAAAAAGTTTCAAATAAGTAATAAATTGGATTTATCATTTTCTATGGCAAGGTTTAATGTAAATGTTGATTTTCTTAAAAGGCCATTAATGAGATCCGAATGTTGCCGCTATTAGTAGTCGCCGACAAGTTACCCTTGGACTTGCAGAAGGTTAGCTCCTCATATTTTTTCTATTTATTTTCAATTCTTATATCTGTTTATTTACTGTAACATTTTAATGTTATTATAAGTTAACAAAGTTATTATACCATTACACAGCCAAATTCAAACTTTTCTTTTAAGATAGGTTAATAGGAGACTGACTATATGCATCATAGAAACATCATTTTATTCAAATTGGACTTATAGAAGGAAATCTAAAAGGCTTTCTGAAGCTGTAAATATTTTATTTAATAATTGTATATGAATAAATTTAAGTAACAGTTTACTCTCCCAAAAATTTTTTTCTTTATTTTTATGACGTTTCGGGATCACATTTCTTATCCCATCTTCAGACTAGAAACATTTGTCATTTGTATTAATATATTTTACATTACATATATTTTTATAAATTATAATATCAATAACAGATTTGCCAATCTTACTCGTATCTCATCTTTCTGTCATCTAATTGTTTCAAAAAAGAATCGTCATAATTTTTAATTCTTTATATTTTTTATATAAATCATTCCTAAAAATGCAATATTTTTTGCTTTATATTATTAAAACAAAATTGAAAATAAATCTGGAAAACAAATAAAAAAATATTATAGATTAAATTATATCCCTACAATACTTCATAAAATTAAAAAAACACTTAGTGAAAACATTATTAAAAAGTATTCCTAATGTACAATATTGAGATTTACATGTTTATACTGCAGATTTGGATGGTAGCGATAGTCCGCCACACCAGGATCAAGAAACATAATAATATAGAAATACACAACGTCATATTAATATTTTGGCTGGACATTGTTGCCATATTCAGCTTAACCCAGTCATAGCTGAGAGTAAATATAGCTCTCTGTATTTCTTTTGCAGGCCTGAAGACTGTCAGCCAAGCTTGCACCCGAGAAAAGCGTGATGCTGGCCTCTTTCCATTTCCTAGGGTTGGAAGAACCTTCCCCCTCACATGGTCTTTTCTTCCGCTGGTTGAGCCTGAGTCTGGAGAACGTCAAAGTATGTATTTCAACATTTTTTTTTCAACTAAAAGAATTGTTTTGAAAACAGTAGATGTTGATTCACTATTACCACCCGTTTCTTAATATGTTTGAGAGAGAAATAAACTAATCGATCAAATATTTGTTCTTTTTTTTTTCTTATGGGAATTGTCATCTGTCAAAAGATTAATGTGTTTTAAGGATGCAAGAAGAAAAATATCGCGTTATCCAAAGAAAACCTACTGAAATCTGTCAGAAAAATGCGTATAATCTTATGATCAAATAATTTGGCTTAAATAAAATAAGCAAATTATACGACTAATAATGACAACTAGCGAAATATTTCATAGCTACAGGAACACATTTGAAATTTCGGAATGGTAACTACGCCAAATTTAGTTTCATCATTATTTCCTTTTTTTTTTTTTTTTTTTTTTTTTTTTTTTTAACGATACACTCGCATACAAATAATAATTCCACATTATTAGCTGAAGGATCGAAATGCCCAATATTTTTTTTAAGCATAATTTTAAATTAAAATGGATAAAATCGACTGTAAAAAAAATGTTAATTAGAATTGACGGATTGGAAATAAGTGTTTTGGTTGAAATTTCTATGTCTTTATTTCTATAAAAACTGTAAAAACTTTGTGGCGAAAAGGAAAAATAAAGTATAAGATAAGAACCTTTCCTTCTTTCTAATATTTTCCAACCTTCATCCAACGCGTTTGATGCAATCAAAATCAAAATTTATTTTTTACTTCGCATTGGAGAATCGGTAACCCCAATATTCACGTAATTGCGAATAGATTGTCAGGTAAAGTCACTCATTGATCCCCCGGTGAAACTGAAAACGTGAAGCTATGGAAATAAAAAAAAATGAGGGATAGATTTTGAAGTATTCTGTAAATTGTATAAGTGGAAGAAAAGGTGTTATAAGGCAATATGGTAGCCAAGGATTAGAGCTAAAGGCAAGGGCTAGGGCTATCAGGATAACTACTTGCTTACCCTGTGTCCATCACGTCCCAGCTATTCGTCTCAGTTTACCTAAAAAACACACCCTATATTGTCTCTTAGGAGTGAGATTTCCACCTAATCCACACTTGTCCCTATTTTTATACCAACCCCACACCAATTGATTTAGCTTTTAAGGGAAATCAAATAAAGTCCAATAGATTGTTTTTGACTTCAGTAGAGTGCCACCAATCGGTTTCATCTCCACGTGTCATTCACAAGTTATAAATTTCATATTAATTACAATTAAGATTTATATTTTATATTATAGAGTTTTTTTCCTCCCGTCTGCATTACAATAAGGATGATAGGAGGGTATCTTCAAATCTTATTGGTATTACACAATGATTATAGCATCGATTGTGTATAATAATTACACAACCGTATTAACATTTTTTAAATCATAATAATAAGCATTGAGAAAAAAGAATGCAGAACAGTAATATATATAACAAATTTATTTATAGGTTAAATAAGCTTATAATTTTTTTTTTTTTTTTTAACTTCTTTATTGAGATATTACAATCTATTACATTCAAGGACAACAGTAATAGTGATATAGAGTAGCTCATTCATACCATGCAATAAATAAAAATAATAAACGGCAATATAATAATATTAATGCAACAGAATAAATACAGTAATAGTTAAGATTGTAATTAAAATTTAATTTGCGAATTATTAACTATGTACCACAGTCTGAATTTATCATACAAATATTTGATTATGTTGGAATATAAAAAAAAGCTTACATTGCCGATGGTCGCTCGTCAAATCACATGATATAATTCTATGATTGTTTTAATTAGATAAATGACCAAAACAGTTAGGTCGAAAGTCAATCTTAAGCAATTATGGTTTTAACCACTCCTTCGTCCTTATGACATTTATGACTTTGGTTTGCTAAAACGAAGGTTGTTAGTTGTCATCACTTGAAAGGATTAAAATGACCTTAGCGAAAATAAACCTTTATATGTCAATCCTTCAGAATGGGACTGAATGTTTCTGTTATTTTTTATTTCTTCAAATGATTCCATGACGATTATGACTGCAATTAAACTTGACTGCAGATGGTTTTTTTTTTTTTTTAATATAGTTATATAATGCTTTGCAAATGATTATTCCTTGTTAAATCTTAAAAAGAATTCATATCTGAGAGTTTGAAAATTACAAAATCTTGAGGAGTATGTGTAAATTGAAACGTCTACAAAGAAAAAGTCATTAAGAAATAAAGTTCAATGATTTTGGAATTTTGGTAAAGCTCCTCTAGAAACCTTGCAATACTTATTTTAACATAGCATTTCTTATGCCTTGTAATGTATTAAAACTCTGATTAAATATGTCGTATGAATAATTAGTCAAGCGAGAGCAGCTGATTCCATTTCCTCGCGTTGGAAAATCCGGGCCGAAGAGGAACGGAGCTTCTGGAAATGGCGGGCTCTGGTTCGGACCTCGGTTGGGCAGGCTGAGCAAGAGGATGGAGCTCGTCCCCATTTCCTACCGCCAAGGTATATACTAACTTTATCCTAATCTATTGCTTTTTATAAACGTTTATATTATAAATTATTATTATTGTAATGAAAATTAAAATACGTATATTGAGATTTTTACTTTTGGTTATGAGAAGATTTAATTTGTTTCAGAAAATAATGTTCCTGAAAATTTACTTAAGAATTCACCTGTAAAGGGGATTGGTAACTCAAATGACATTGATGACTATATTGACTCTAAGCAGTAACCTGTTAAACCTATAAGAAAAAATACAATTATATCGAGCACCTAAAAACTTTATACTATCTATTGAACTTTTAATCTTTCTCTTAACTGGAATAATATGTAACTGGTGTTCCTTCTTCTTCCAATATGTATTCCATTACTCTCTTAAAATCAGCATGTTCACTTGTGAAATTTGTAATCAAGCTATAAATAATGTAAATTGATTCTTTATTATGTTTGTAACAAGTAGACAATACAAGATAAGGAAAATAATTCTTGTAATTATAGAAGAATAAATTATATCCAACGAATCAGCATTTACATGAAATTTATATCCTTTTTATTGCTATGCTTTTCTCTGATCTGCTTCTTTAAGGTGAAGAGTGGATATAAAAACATAATATGTATATATATATGTATGTTTGTTTGTGTGTATTATAGATTTGTATTGATCCCAACTGGAAAGCAATGTATGGGAATATTTTCTAAATGACTAATGATAAGGCTAAATATCAAAGATCTCTGGTGTACTGCATCAAAATTATATCTCAGCCAGTTATTTAAGAGCTCCCACACTTGATAACTTTCCACTCTATTCCTGTTCCCCCACTTCTCTTCAGGTTGGCCTTTTGTAAATGACCAAGGTTTCGTCAATATGTATTTACAATCCTGAAATAAATAGGATCCTGTTTAAAAACCTACCTTTATGACTACCGTGAAAATATTTAATGGAACCTAGTAGCGAATTAGGAGTACTTTAATCTATTTCTTGTTTCTGCTTACACAATTCACATATTAATCGCTACTGGGGTCTCCCTCACACCAGACTCTTGGTCCAGTTCTTGGTTTTCAATGTTTTTCTTCCTCGTCTCCATCTTCCATACGTCTCTCCAACTGATCTCTTTCATTTTCTTGCGTGTCTACTTTTTAAATTTTTTGTTCTGATAAGTTTTGTTCTGTTTAAATTACTCTTCTGATAAGTTAAATTTCCTTTTCGGAATTTTCCTTTCAAGTCTGGCTTCTCAAAAGTTTGGCCAAGTTCCAAAAGACATCTAGCATTTCTAAACTCCCATTTTAGGCGGCTACTTTACAGCTCTTGACTTAAACCTCAGGACTTTACTTTAGCTGCTCTGCACGTACCTCCCGAAACAACTCTTGGAGCTATTTCAAAAATTCCCATGTTTTTACTCTTGACTCAACATATTTTTTCAATATGTTTACAATCATATTTATTTATACAATTATCTGATATTTACTATTGATCCTTCTATATTAACTACCCATATCAGTATCATCAATACATAGCACCGCCACAGTCTTCAATAATTAAATATATTTTGTTGTTTTACAGCGGCAATGCAGACGATATTTATTTTTATTTTTTTATTTAATTTTTATTTGTTTTGAGGAAAGAACCCCATACAAATTTGCAGACGATTTTAGTTTTTATGTTTTTGTTCAGTAAAACTCCTTTGGGTATTCATGTATACTCACAAACAAACACACTTATACTAGAGTTAAAAAAATAAAATAAATTATTAGGTTATCTGGAAACTAATGCATGATTTTGAGTTTTCTTTAAAATAGCCTTCTATATAACAAAAAGTGTACGTTTACTGGATTATTCAATTGTATAAATGTCAACACTTATTAATTCTCTTCTAAACGATAATGTTTGTTTACCTCCTCTGTTGCATTTCGCTGCTTAGAAATAATTCAGTCTTTACATCCTACGTGTCATTGTCGTTTTATGAGTTTATACTCGGCCGGAGTGGAGCCCAGACGGACTCAATCAAGTCTGGGGCATGAGCAGTATTATTGAGTGCGCTGTTTAACGGTGGTTCAAAAAATTTCGAGGGGAGACTTGAGCCTTGAAGACAATGAAGGTCGTGGAAGAACTTGGTCTCTCGGTGGAAGAAAATCCCAGAATAATCATTAGATAACTTGCAGTTAAACTTAACCTTAGCCAACCGACCGTCGATGACCACCTCAAGGCGATTGGAAAGGGAAAAAAGTTGGGTTATGGAGTTTGTGCTTCACTTGATACACTACAGCTTTTAAATCCTGCAGAAACCATCAATTCCGAATCGTATTGTAACCAAATTAATACAATAATGAAGCCATCAATCGGTCAATCGGAAGGGGCCCATTTTGTTACATGACAATGCCCAGCCGCGTTTGACGTCATTAACACTGTTGGAACTTGAATATGAAGCTCTGCCACATCTACTCCCCGGTCCTCTCGCCTACGGATTACCATTTTTTTAGACACCTGGACCACTGCTTACGTGACAAAAAAATTAATCGATAGAGGGAATCAGAACGTACGTTTTGGGGGTTTATCAATTTTAAAGATGGGAAATTCTGTTCCGATGGAAATGTATTGATAGGGGTGGAGACTATTGTGATTTAAAAAAATAGTTGTAAATGTTTCTTTTTTCTTTTAAAACCAAAATTCTGCATTATTTTGCGGACAACCCAATAGTTACTCCTTATTTTTATTTCTATATAAGAATTTCGATTAAAATTTTTATATGACAGCTTTAACAACTTCTCTTCACACCTTTGTGTTTACAAGTTTATTTTCTTATATTAATGTGCATGAATGTATAAACTAGAACAGGCCACAGATCCTGTGGTAGATAATTGTGGTAAAATCGGGATAAGATTCTAAGGTTCTTTAAAATACATATAAAAACAATAAATATACATGCACATAATCCTACGTCATTTTCATTTTCTTCTTATTTTGTTATTCTGTATAAAATACTCTTAAAGAGAAATACTCTTTCGCATTCAAGAGAAACGGCGCCTTCACCAAATTTAATATAAAATTTAACACGTGTAATAGAGATGGCATACAGAGATAAAGATTGGAATACTTTGGCAAGGTCGGATAGGGATGTGATGGAGGGGAGGAGTAGAGGAGTGAAGAGAAAGCTAACATCCGAGTTAGTGCTCCTTCGAGAATGTGCTCCGCCCGGGCCCTGTCACCAATCTTGCTCACTGCCTTCCTGGTTACTATCACCATCAGCACCAATGTATCCAAATGTCGTGGTAAGTTACCAGAGAAAATAAACATTATGTTATGCTAATCGAACCTTTTACCAAATAAGTATTCTTTCTTCAATTTATTCCATTTCTGCAATTTCATCCTGCTTCAAATTAATAATATTATTTTATTTTAACTTAGGAAAAACGATAAAATAATATTTGTTTAGTTGTTTGATTCTTGAGCTCTTTCACATTGAAATGAGTGAAAGACACTTTTATTTCGAATTTTGACATGCTGGGTCCACCTAAACTTTTGATTCTGTCCTTTAATTATTGTCCCGAGTAGAATCTGTTGGAACATGCTTCAAATCATAAAATCATAATCAGGACAATGTTAATTATATATTGATTAAAGGTTTCTTAATTGCATAGATTGGCTAGTTTACAATTATATATTCATTTAAATTCATTTCTTTGCCTTAAAATTATTATCATGTGTTCCAAAAAATTTAATTTGTCTGGCAAAAAGCTTATTTTTTCTGATTTGGTTGAAATAACCACAAAAAAAAAAAAAAAAAACATTACTGACTAATGATTGAAATAAGCTGAAAAATATTAGATGTGAAACAACATTGTATTCTAAACTGACTGTGATCGATTCCTGTATCAACAGAACTTCTTATCCGGAACTACTACAATAAATAGAAAAAAGGAGTGAAGAATGATAAGAGTAAAGATTTATGGTAATTGTTTATCAATTGATGGATTTTAGTTTATTGCATTACTTCTATAATAAAACAATACACAGGCAAAGGTTTATACCTGGTTTATAAATTATATCATTAACTGCTGCCCATGTTTGCACCCTTCAATATTACACACAAACACATACATATATATACAGGGTGTCCCGTAAGTAGAGGAAAACATTTAAATGGTTGATCGTAGACATCAAGATCTACAAAAAACTTCATATAAACAATTGCCCAATTTCCAGTAGAAAAGTAGGAAATTTAAGATTTGTGTTGTTTAAGTGGGTCAAGTTTTTTGTTGAATAGGAAGTGATAATTAAAAAAATATTTGATTTAAGTAATTAAACATGGCTCCATAGAAAACTAGACATTTTTTTTTAAATGAATGTAGAGTTTGGCATTGGTAAAACCATTTAAATTGGACAAACTCAGCTAAGTTCCGTTTAAAAAAAATCTTTGTGGTTTTTTTTAATACCTTTCAACTGTACTATAGCTAACCCTTTTATTTCTTGTTTTTCCTTGGTAAGGGGTGTATTTTAATAAATATAATTGCCTAAAAACACATTCTATTAATAAATACAAAATGTTTTTAAATATTTTTCACGTAAACTGGTTATGAAACAGTTTTTTTCCCCTAGATTTCTGTCATATGAATTGGTGCGTATGTGACAAAATGTCATATGTGACAAACTTAAAGTTTACAACTGTAATATTTATGTTTTAATGAAAATAATTTAAGCAATCACTACGTTTCTTTATTTTAAACGTACATTTTAGTAAGAAACTTCAGGTTTGTCACTGATAAATACATATCAATTCCTATGATGGAGGTCTGGGAGAAAAACACTGTTTTATAATCACTTGACTTGAAAAATATTTGAAAAATCAATATTCAAATTTTAATAAATAAAATGTGTTTTTAAGGAATTATGTTTATTACAATATATCCCATATCACTGAAAAACAATCAATAAAAACTTTGTAATAATTAATTGTAGTCATTTTTGCCGAAAGCCAATCACACACTACAACACTTAAATCAACCACAGCAAACAAATTATATATACTAAGATTTCTGAGAGGTACCTCTTGGGGATCAGATAGATCCACCCTACTAAAACTCTTGGTGTGCTATTAAGACTATTAAAACCACGTCTTGGTGTGCTAAAAATTAGATTATGAGTATTTTCTCTATGGTTCAGCCCGTTACCGTGTCCGAAGTAAAATAGAATTGATGCATCATCAGGGATTCGGATTGCGACAGTTGCGCTTCGAGTTTGTTTTCTGTTTCCAGCCCATCCAGTCCCGTTCTCAGTTTGTATTCTGAGGCCGGAGTACCACATCTTTTATTTAGAAGGAAAAAATTACAGTAATTACATACATACATATATATGCAGTGGAGGAAGCCTTCAGCAAGGTAGAGGAGGAAGCGAAATATATGGAACTAAATGTAAATAAAATAAAACGAAAATGTGCATTAGGCAACATGATGTGACCCCACAAGCTAGGTTTGGAGAGTGTGCTTTTGATGTTGTCCCATGCTTCCAATACCTGGGAGCTACAATAACAGAAATGATGAAAGAGGAAGTTGAAATAAGATGCAGATTAGAAGAAGCCTACAGAGCATATTTCACCCTATCCAAAATTATGAGGCTGTAAAAATATCTTACTAGCCCAATAGCGACTTATGCACGCGAAATTTGGACGCTCAACAAATCAGTTGCACATAAGCTTGAGTTGGCCATGAGCCGTGAACCGTTAACATCGTCTCTGTGATGGTATTGTGTTTAATAGGTTTAATTCTATCCAGTGCCTACCAAAATTTGTACCGTGGACTATTAGTTATATGAGTGAATTTTGAGGTAAGGAAGCCTAATATAAAGCATCGAAAATCTAAATTTAAAAATGTTCTGTACGATAGTGGTTTGTGCAAGATCCTACAAGTGCTCACCCACACTGGAATTCAAGTAAGCTGTTTGTAATCAGTGCAATCAATGCACCTCATACGTCGTTTTGCTTTAAACGACAAGGTTAATATTCATTAAAAATAGGTTATATGTTATTTTGTAAGTTAATTAATGCAATATATAGGGGCTGAAGAAATTAATATTAAATCTAGCCATACAACTGACCAAAAACACTGGTAACTAAAAAACACCATATCTCAGCTACATAATAATGTATCACAGCTTGAGAATAAATGTACTGAGCTAGTAAAAAAAAAAATCCCACATTCGAAAATGAGGTACATGTTTAGGAAGAATTTCCTGCAGCAACAACTTTATTTTGTTTGGTATTCTAGAGTCTGAAAATGAAGTTATTTTAGAAAAATCAAAATCTATATGTGAAGAAACATGTGTAACAATTCCGGATTGGTCAATTAGCAAACTTTTTAGATTAGGTAAGAAACGGAAATCACAGGGCCATTCTAATATCATTTAATAGTCAAACGAAAGCTAATGGAGAAAAAAAAAAAATTCAAAACTTGAATTACCGAATAGCACTTGACAGATCTCCAGAAGACCGAAAATATACAAAACATATTTGAACTTTTTTAAAAATTATTTATTTAGAAATATAACAATCTGTCACCTGGACAATAATTATAGTGATATATGAACACATTCATACCATATATACAGAAAATATAAAATTAACAAAAGTAAAATAATAATCAAAAACTGCTTGAACTTAACAAAATATAATAAAAATAGAAAATAAAGATACAAGATTATCATAAAAGTACCGCCATTTTTAACCCCAACTAAAACTCTATAGTCTAGATGAAATTTCTCAATCCATTCAAACAAATGTGGTCGATAATGAAATCTCTAAAAGGAAAAGATCGGATGAAGGACTAGATAAAAGAGTTTACCCTTTTTTAGGCCTAGAAGTGCATCTGCATTTAGTTCAAAATCTAATGAATCATGACTGCAGCAGAATTATAATTCGAAAAATATAAAACTAATGGAGGTATATCACTAAGGACTAACAGCGGATATCAAGAGACCAACTAGCTGCCGGCGCAATCTCCACAATATACCGTAATCTCAGCATCTCTAGGCCAATGTAATCATTATAAGAACATTTCAAAATCTATAAAATCATCAGGCCAAAAAGTGCATCAGTATCTAGCTCAAAGTCCAAAGGAAAATGATTATAACAAATCAATAAATAAATTACGGTAACGAATTACTAACATAATATATCACACCAATAATCTATAATCCAGCTCTATCCCGACGCCATCTCTTCAACAAAATCTCGTAATCTCAACATCTCCAGTTCAAATTCATTACCAGATACATTAAAATCACAAAAACTTTTTATGCTGTGCTTAAAAATAAATTAACCTTTTTCTTAGTTATATCAAATTTGTCATTATAAAAAAATAAATAAAGTTGAGTTCACCTTAATTGTTTATAGGTCAAAAAATTTAGTAATCGAATTCAACAGATCAATGTTTTTGGAACTAACTGTAAGATAGGACTAATTTTTAAATCAACGAATGAAATTGAAGATATATGATATATTACTACAGGTTAATAAACAGCCAAGGCACTAGGTAAAAGTTAATTATTTTTTAGGGCAAAAGAGTCCTTTATGTTCATTCTTTTATTTATTGTTTTAGCTGACTGGCATATATTATGTGTTATAATTGCTTGTTTATCAGAGGCGAAAGTAAAAAATAAGTGATTATTTTTTTATTTTTTATTTATTTATTGATATTAATACATTCTGCCACATTAAAGGGCATTAATATTAAGGCTACATGAATCATTCACACAATATGTACATACAAAGAATAACTAAGATAGAAATAATAAAGAAAAAGAAAGATAGAAAAATAAAATAAGTAAATTAATATGTCTGTGTAAAAAAAAATGAAATAATAGATAAAAGCAAAATAAAATTAAAGTAAATAAAACACATTCACACCTATATACAATATTTACATTCACCCAGAGGACTCTGACTCATGCTTTATCCGTTAAAGCAGACTGGTGGACAGGAATTGCCTCGAAGGGTAAAAGTGGTATGTTTGGATTTGGATTCATTTACTTGGATTCGCCACTTTTTACACCAGTGTTCAATAAGATAGAGATGACTTTGTAGGTTTAAGGATGCTGTTTCAGGACCTGAATTGGAAGATAAGATGGCTGTGTCATCATCGAATGATTTTTAATGATATTTGACCCCAGAAGGATGAGCTGCTTTTGGTGGTAAAGAGAGTGTAATTGGCGAGGAAAGGAATTCTTCTACTTTTGCACTGTGGGTCGGATTGGATTCGGGATGAGGAGTAAATGTATC